AACAAATGATTAAACTCAATTATCTCAAAATAAAATATATGTAAAAAAGGGCTGTTTTAATAGATAACACCCCATATGTCCAATAATTTTGAAAACGATTGGACATATAAAATTTTAGATGTCCAGACATATGTCCAATGCCAACACTGGTGATGATCATTAATCAAATTAGTGACGGCGTAAATAGTAAAAGCATATAAAATTTAAATTGTAATAACTCTTGAACAAGCCAACCTACACAAATAAATTATATTTGTTCGAATTTATTTAGTGTGCTCTTTAGTATAAAAACGTCTTTTTTTTATTTATTTATTTATATTTTTTAGAGCCTAACGGAGGACTCAATTTCCATGCAAAATGGTCGTTTTTGATGCATTTTTCATAAAAACATCAAAACGTAATTTTGAATTTTTTCGTCTCAAACTGCAATACAAAAATTTTAAAGTTACATTTTTGATATTTTTATTAAAAACATCAAAAACGATTATTTTGCATGGAAATTGAGTCCTCCGTTAGGCTCTAAACAATATAAATAAATAAATAAATAAATAAAAAAAGTTGTTACTTTAAAGAGCACACTAAAATAAACACCGACAAATATAGTTTTATTTGTGTAGGTTAGCTTATTCAAGAGTTATTGCAATTTAAATTTTACCGTAAATTCTCGAAATAGCGGGCATCTGCGCACTATTTCGAATACGTCTATGAGTATTATTACAAATATATCAGCAGATTTTCTGAATAGGGATGTTAAGTAATCCACGAAGGACTGGTTCTGACTGGGTCTAGGGCCAAACATTTTAGGCTTGTCCGAAACTAGTCCAGATAAAAGTGAGTCATGAATACCTTTTGCATTTCACTTTCAAAATTACCTATATTGTATATTATATATTGCTGGGTTATACCCGGGCTTTTTAAGAACCGGACCTGGATTGGACCGAACATACTCTTTAACTTCACTATTTTTGAACCCGGTTTTTCAAAATACATAATAGTAAGGTGCGCGTTATTTCGGGATGCGCATGGGCGTTATTTTGAATCCACATATACTATTTTTAGGAAACACAATTTTCAAGATAACACCTATGCCTGCTATTTTGAGAATTTACAGTATATGTTTTTACTATTTATACTACTACTATATATGCCACTGATTATAAAAAAAATTCGATTATATTACCTACATTATATTTGTAATTAGATTTATATGAAACATTCCAATGATAAGTCTATACAAAAAAGTATTAGAAACTGAAACTATTACTATTTCACAAAAACCAAATAATTCAGCATTTTTGTTATATTATATGTATAGAGAATTTCTATTGGTTGATATATTAAAAAAATAAAATTTTAAATTTCTGTTCTGCTAACCCATCTGGAATATGAAAACAGATTATATATGTTTATATGGCCTAATATAAAAAATCTTAAAATTAAACAAAAAAAATATTATTATAATAAATTGTATCTAATAGTAAAAATTGTAAATTATTATGTGGTTTTTAAATATATATTATTTTTAGGGCATGGTAATTTATCACTATAGCAGTATTCATGTAATAGGTAACATTTGTATATGATGTTTATTCTTACCATATAGCCCGTCATTTAACGACGGGCTCTAATACTAGTTTTATTATAAAAATCTTATGTTTGTAAATTGACTAATATGATACACCAAGTGCATCATGCAACATGATATGGGGGTGAGTCAATAGAAACGCATCATATTTTTTCTAAATAAATTTTTTAAAACTTTAAACAAAAATAACTCAACAACTACTTAATCAAAATTAATAAAATTTTTTTTAAACTAATTCTAAAAACTTGTAGAATTTATTTTAAAAAAAAAATTTGCTAAATTTGGTTAAGTTTTTGCTGAGTTATTTTTGATTGAAGATTTAAAAAAATTTCATTAAAAAAGATATGGTGCGTTTCTATTGACTCACCTCCATATGGCTAAAAATGTGCATGTGCTCATCTCTAGTCTTAGCTGTCCCGGAATTTACGAACATAGATGTAAAATACTGATCCGGATCCGGATTACTTTTACGGATATTTATATTTAGATCTAAATTGGTTTTATGATTTGGATAGAATCCTTACAGCCATTGTATTGTGGCTATTTTCTCAAATTATAGGACATGCTAGAAATTTACTCGTTCTCCGAATCTTTCTTATCATAAGAATTACCTAACTTTTCGGAAATCATGTCGCTGTTTCTGGATCAAAATTTTGAAGGTAGTGTGACACGACATAATTTCCGAAGTGTTGTGTGGTTTAGGACAAGACCGAAGAGTTCCGGAAATTAGAGTTCCAATCTATTAATCGTTTATCCATATATCCGGATATGGACAAATGGATAACGGATTTATCCGGAAATAGTTTGCTATAATTATAAACAATTGCCGACTCGAGATAATCAAACATTCGGCTGCTTCTTTCTCCAATGATATTGTTGCGATCTTGGTTCAGTCGAACGCATAAGAAAAGCGAAAATCGAAAACTACTTTGGTGTATTAATTAAAATTTCCGCTTATTGTATTTTTCATATTGTGCAAAAAGAAGGTAAATCGACAAATTTTTCAAAAAACTTTTTTTTATATAATCAATTCAGAATAAAGTCAAGATCATTTTTTACTTAAAATATATACTTAGTTGCGTTAATAAAATCTTGCAGTATAACTCTTTGGAATCTGTATTTTTTTTATGATTTATTATAAAATTTGTAACATAAAATTGATGAATTCTAATTACTGATCGTGAATTCTTGCAAATAATAAACCTTTTTTTTCTTAATACAAAGTAAATTGATCTCATAATTTTCGACCATGGTGATATTATAGAGTTAAAAGTAAAAGAACTTGTTTATATGTAAAATTTGATACTAAAAACTTTTGCTTAGAAATAGAAGCATAATTTTCATAATAAAAATTTTGTTATTAAAAGTTTTTTTTTTTTTTTGGCTTTTTTTTTAATTCTTTGCTTTGTTTTGGTTATAAAATATCTGGTGATTTGATTGACTCTACATATAACTAGGTGACATCACCCGGGGGAAAGTTAACAATAGTCATAATAATAATAATAATAATAATAATAGTAAATAAAAATAAATCCGGAAAATCAGGTGTAATTGTATCAACTGCAAGATTAAATTATTTCTTTTCACAAAGACGTTTTTGTGTTTGATCGGCAAACCAACCGACAAGATATGGAAATGGACCTTCCGTTAATCTAACGAATCTACCAAGATTTTCAAACATTATATCCTTGTCACCATTTAGTGTTGCTTCGTATATAATTTGAGCGCATTTTTCTGAAGTTATTCCATTGGAAATATCTAATTCGCGAGGATTCGTTCCAAGACGTGCATCGTTTATTTTGGTTTTCACAGGGCCCTATAATAAATGATATATTGTTAGAAAGCCAGGATATGTAATAATGAGTCAAGCGATTAGAACTTACGGGGTAGGCTATAGTAACATAAATATCATACTCAGAAAGTTCACAAGCCAAGGCAGTAAAGAATCCTCTGAGTGCAAATTTAGAACCACAATAACCAGTTCTGAATGGTACACCCACAATTCCACTAGCAGAGGAAACTACGACAATTCTTGATTTTGGAGAACGTTTTAGCAAAGGTAAGGCCTGGTATACAAAATTCGTAGATCCAAAGTAATTAACTTCCATCATTTGTCGGATTATACCAAAATCGTTAATTTCATCTAATCTTTCACCCATGGAAATTCCAGCATTGAGAATTAAGCAATCTATTCGATTATATTCATTTTCAATCTTTCGTATTAAAGTAGTGATTTCTGATTCTTTAGTAACATCAACTGTAGCAGTGATAACGTCTTTGGCGCCATATGATTTACAAACTTCGCTAACCGCGGCAAGTAAGGCCTCTCTGCGAGCGCAAAGGACTAATATACAACCACAGCGAGCAAATTGGTGAGCTAAAGATTCACCGATTCCACTTGATGCACCAGTAATTACAACTACCTTTCCGACTGGATTCCAATTTCGTGCAAGTTTGCGATGGATGAACTTTAGATAAAAATTGTTGATATATAGTAGTGGGAGTCCTGCGACGAAACAGAAAAACATTGTTGATTCATTGATACAGACTAAACCTAAGAAGCCTAATGTCATTAGAAAAAAGGCCATTGTATTAAATTGATGTGTAAAATGAATGGAGTCCTGTTTTTGTTTGTGTTTTGTCCTTTTTTTTTTTTGATTTAAGAAAAATTTGGATGTATCTTTCTCTTTTATATAATTGTACTAAAATTATGGAGACGATCGTTTAAATGATAATTAAAAATTGATAAATTTTGATAGCAAAAATATTATATTGATTCATCTACTTACTTCTATAAGTAAAATTGTTGATCATGAATAAATATCCCGTGACCTGATCATTTTATTAAAAACTTTCAGACAATTTTTTGACACAAATTTATTATTATTATGGTTTGATTGGTGGATCTTCATGTGTAAGCGACGTTCGTATCACGAATAACCACTCGCGATTATGAGCTTATTTTTGATAGAATATGGTATTTCAAATTATAACGAGAGACAAGTTTACTATGAAATTCTGATATCCTTAATGGTCTGCCATTGGGGTGTATCATTCGGTCAATTTACAAATATAATGCAGGTAACATAGTGAAATTTTGTGATCTGCGTTTTATATTAAATTATTATAAAAAAATTGATTTTACTTCGCCTTTAATTTCTCCGACAATATTTATAGCGGTTTGCAAAAAAGGTGTGACTCCACAATTTTCGTGATAACGATAGCGGGGAATTTCGGAGATTCAACCATACATTCGATCAGTGACATCTATTTTTATATATTTGAAAATTTGTATAATTTCCTTAGAATCGAAAAATCGTCTAATTTCCCGCGATTTTACATTACACGATGATCTGCAGAGGTCACACCTTTTTGCCAACCACAATAACATTTTTAAAGTAAGATGTTTAATGAAAAGTGCCTTATAAAGTAATAACATTAGAATCCCTCACTAATTGAAATATGCCACGGCTTACCTGAGTATCCGCTATCATACGATTTACAAACATAATGTGGGCCACATTGTAAGTCGTTGGCCGGGTTTTTAATCTTTAATAACTTTTGAACCAATATACATGCACAAATAAAACTATACTTGACGAAGCTCTCTTAACGTGCTCTTTAAATTTTACAAGAAAACCTGATCAATGAATTACTATGTGGCCGTAGTAAATCGCATGACAGCGGGCACTCAGATAAGCCGTCACATATTTCAATTAGTGAGGTAAAATTCTAACGTTATTACTTTATAAAGACGCTTTTCATTAAACATATTGCTTTTATAGAATTTAAAAATGTTAAATATTACCGGAGAAATTAAAGGCGAAATAAAATCGTTTGTTTTTTCAATAATAATATAGAACGCAGCTCTCAAATTTCATTATACGTACGTACGTAAAAAATCTTTATTAGTGATTTTCACTATATCACCTGCATTATGTAAATTGACCGAAATGATACACACCACTCTGCCATGCTTATACATATCGATTTCCGAATATGGACCAAAATCATATTTGTGCCCATAGGAAGACTTCGTATGATTGGCTGTTTAAATCAATTTAATTTTACATTATTTATACATTTAAAGTACTTTTTTAAAAAAATCAAACTACGAAGAATAAACAAAAAGGAAGTATATAGAAAGTTTTATTAGGGTTGTAGGACTCCAGTATT